AATAAGATGAAAATTTACTCAAGGAGTTTTTATATGTTAAGGTGAAATTCTTTAAAGTTCACTTTCAATGCTTCGAATAGAGCATATAGAAAATAATTAGGGTACTGACTTCCAGAGAACGAAAAGCTGATACCTTGATTCTTGTTTTGTGTTACTTGCGGAACATAACTAAAAAGAAAACACTTCATTCTTGAAATGGTGGTCACAATAAAATCTTTCTGCTTACTGACCCTAACTGTACAGAGAAAACACCACTTTTGGGATAAGTACTAAATGCCGACTGTTGAGGACAATCGAACTTCGAAAGAGTATAGGAACCAACCTAGCAGTTTACCATTTGTCCATATTAACTCTGCAGAGAAAACACCACTTTTCGAATAAATACTAAATGTCGGCTGTTGAGGACAATCGAACTTCGGAAGAGTATAGGAACCAACCTAGCAGTTTACCATTTGTCCATATCAATATCGGTCACAGTCACAGATATTGTGTCTAGAAGTGTCATTTGACTCCAAACAGCGTTCGGATTTTGTCTTTTCAGACATACTCGTTTTAATAAGATGATAACGCAGACATCAATTTCGTGGTACTAAGGAGAATACCCTACCGTAGATGAAAATACGCACCAGTTCTTTAGCCTTGAGATTATTGAAGTATTTCGACAGTTGTCTGGCGTGACATCTATTATACATCTATTATAGATTGTCATCGGCTACAAACCTTTTGTTCTGGACCTTTTGTTCGGCTACAAACATTATTCTGGACCAACTTATACCACAATAAGGTTGCGGTGCACAATACTAGGTTGTAGATCCAGTTCTTCGGACTCGTTATTATTAACTCTGGGAATGTATATTCTTACGAAAGAGGCAATAAAACTTTGTAAAGTAGGTTTTATACTACTTTTTATTGATGCAACAGGGCTTAGACAACTACTCTAAACCAAGAGGGGCACAATAGACCCGATGGTCGCAGTGCCACATTCCCTGACAATAATAATATTAATTACTGTGTATCACATCAAAGCACCACTCTATTTTTGCTTAGCAGTTACTACTCGTATAGTATATTATTGCAATCTAGCAAAATTTTAGAAAAAAGACTTTTAAGACCCCTTAACTGCTACTGCTAACTATCTGCATTGAATATTTCTCCATTTTAGATTTGAATTACAAGGCATCCGAATAACCTTATTTTACTAATTGTTATAAGGACAAGTCTTACATTTTGTATGGATTTTAGTAAGAACCTTTGGAGAACTTAATCAAAATGATTTACCAAGAAATACAAAGAACACTTCTCGCTTTGTTGGCATTTTGAAACCTTTTTGTTGACTTATAAACTATAAAGCAAGCACAATGCAACATAATTCAAGTTGAATGAATATTGCACGAAATAAAGTCATCACATGTCTACGCACAGATCCTTTAAGGATGTGTGCACGGAGGATGTGTGTCTACTGGAGCCTCAAATAACGGCAACTTAATGTACAATTTCGTAGCAGTCAAGTTAATGCACAGCTCCTAGTAATTTTAAATAAGCACGAGAACGGGTATTAGTAGATAGGCTGTGAGTTTCGAAGACTTTTGCTGAATGTTTGCTTTAATGCTAATGACGCTGTTGACAACATTTGCTGCTTGTCATGCTGTCGACATACGTACTATGTGTAAAATTCCTACTCATATACTCCAATAATCATTTTCCGTAATGTTGCTGACTTAAGTTTATGGCGTTGTAATTATAATGACATAAATTTTAAAGCAAATTTGCTGAAAATTTTACTTTCAACGACAGAAATGTGTAGGAAAATTAATAACGATGAGTGTTCATCGAGTACAGTACTTGTGAAATATAATTTTTTATGATATTGTGTGTTATATACATATAAAATGTAATGATAATCACATGTGAACATACGTGGAAAATCCACATATGAAAAATAATCTTAAATCAAGGTTGAGCAAACAAAATTTTTATAGGATGAAGTTCGTTCCTCTCCCTTCTTATTAAAATTCTTTGCAATAAAAATGAGTTCTTCATTAAAACTTTTAAGATTTATTTTTTCATGATTTCCTTCAACACTGCGGAGAAGTTAAGGATGTGTGAAATATATGTACAATATAAAATCTAAATTAAGTTATAATTACTAAAAGAGTATATATGTTTTTAACGAAATAATAATATAATAAAAGAATTTGTTTTAAATATTCCTTACTTAGTAGGACAAATAAAATAGCTGAGGAAAAAGTAATAGAATTTTTAAATAATTATATGACCTCATTCCATCATTCGTCTTCTCTTTTTAATTATTTATTTGCAAGGAAATAAAGCGATTAACCGGTGAAGTACCATAAGAAGAAATCACTGTATCATCGAATCAACTTTCATTGTTATATTTATGTTTTTTTATTGATTTAATGATTTTTCATGGTTATCCATTTTATGGTCCACAAAATTAGTTTTCGACCAAAACTTTTTCCGAATATTCTTTAAATTTTGCCATTAGTTGTGAAATACTACATTCATCTACCAATCTCCATAAGAATTTTAAAACAAATGGATTGTTTTAAGTTAATTTTCAATATCTTATGAATATATAAGTGATAGCTCGGTGATAACTTGTACGGTGCTTGTTTTTAAACCTTGACGATCTCTACCATAACCCTTTAAATTAAATTCAATGTAAATTTACACGTACAAAAACTATTTTCCAAAATTTTGGACCAAATTTTGGACTTTGTGACTATTTTGACAAAATATGATAGAATATGATACATTATCTGATTTTATATATCGAAACCTGGCAATTGCAGTCCAATAAAATATGTACGGATCCAAACCAATTAAGAAATGTGAATATTTTTTTAGATCACTGATGATGAGTACTTGGCAATATGGTCAGCCAAATTTAAATAAATTAAATAAATTTTTGCCCTTGCCTTTTCTTTTGTTATTCGAATTCGTCCGAAATTAGTTTTTTTTTAGGTTAATAGATAAAAAGTTTTTTTAGCCAAATCAACGGTGATGAAGTCAATTTTTGTCAGAATCATCCGTGTCGTCTGATGACCCATATCATTCTTTAACATATATGTACACATTTTCTTCTTTTTTCTCTTCTTAAATTAATTATAAATTTGATGTGTTTTCACTTTAAAATGGTTTAATATGAATTAATTAATTTCTTCTTAATTTTTTTTTGTCCCTAGTAGAACACAGGACCTCATAAATCTAACAAACACTGCTACACTCTTTCACTTCTTCAGCTTAAAACAACTTATTTACTAAATTTCGCACTATTTCATAGCATACTTTTGTGCGCTGCTAAATTGATATTCCCTCTTAGCTTTTTGCCGGAAGTTCATTTATCACTTAGTTTTGCGCTGTTAAATTACAATTCACTAGAAATTAATAAACTACAAGAAATACCACAAATTATGCAAGCAGATGCGTATAATCTCGCCAAACTTAGGTGTTGGCAGGAGTTAACAGGAACCCAAAGCGAATTCATAACGAAAATTGTTGGCGTGTGAATTTTACTTGGAGGCGTCAATGTCAAAATTATCCGAAACAACTCAGGCAGCGTCTAATGTGTGTGCCCTGTTAAATTTATGTATGAAATTGTATCTGTATGTCTCGCAGCA